ACGGTCGAAGCAGTGGAGTGTACGAGGGCTTGTCCGGTATGAAAGCCGGCGGTCCGGTCGTTATACCTGCAGAAAAGACTATTTTAAAATGTCACACCACAGTGTCCTTAACTGAGTGGCCTGTGTGTGCGCACTAGACACACCGAAGGAGCCCGCCGCTCATGGCTCATTTCTGAGTTAAAGCAAATGTTTAAGAAGTCAAGCATAAATATTTTTCAGCGGATCAGAAACACACTTCTTGTGTTTACTTCATCTTGAGAGAGCGCTCTTCTATGTGCCAGTTAACAAACGTGTTGCTGAAATACTGTACGTGAGGGAGTACGGGGCTCTGCTGACATTTGTTTCCTAACACGGGCTGAGATTCGGCTTAATGAGTAGCAAAGTCTCCCTGGTGTTTTTAATGACAGGATGCGGAGTTTTTTTTTCCTCTCTGCGTGTGCGTGTTTCTGGTCTGCGCTGCTGGCGGAGTGCAGCCAGCTGTGTAAACCGGCCCAGACCGCGGGGCAGGATCGCTGTGTCAGCAGGCTGTGGCTGCGGGGAGAGACGAAAACACGCCGGGAGAGAGGAGAGAAAAAACAACAAGGAGAAACGGCAAAGAGAGCCGAGGGAGGGGGATGAAAGGAACAGAATACTTGAAACCTTGTTGTTGAATCCGAGGGAGGGGAGAAGGGATGTGGGAGAGAACAAGGTTTACCGTAAGGCAAGGAGAGGGAGGACACAGTCGGAGACGAAGGGGAAGAAGGAGAGGGTGAAAAATGACTCGGCATCAACAGTGAAAGAGGCCTCGGGATACAAGCGTATGGTGAAACTGTATTAAAAACCGAGACCAGGAAGCCCCTCTTAATACAAAGGGAGGCGGGGGTATGGAACAAGCTGCCCAGCTATGTCTTTGAAGCAGATACCCTGGTTTCTTTCACGAAACAGCTGGATAAGATCCTTGGATCAATTAGCTGCTGGGCTTCAGACAGGCTAGATTGGCCAAAGTTCCCCCCTAAATTATGTTCTTAGGAAGTTAAGAGAGCTGGGCAGAAAGATGCAAAAAAGATTAAAATCTAACTACTCAGTCACTCCTGAATATTGCTTTTAGCCTTGGAATGAGCTGGGCAGTTGTGCAGCTCCAGTGTCTCAGTCACTCGCTGTGCCTCCTGTCCTGTTCCTGTGTGAGAGCATCTCCAGGGTTCTCCTATGCCTCAGTTCATGTTGTTCGCTGGGCTTAAATACAACACTGCCTCGCTAGATATTGCAGAAATACAACCGCTTTTCTGTCAGCTCTGCTCAAAGAGGACGGACTGAATCTGCTGTCGCACAGTGCCCATCGACAAAGATCTGTGCTCAGAAGCCTACGCAACACCATAAGTCTTCCCCCTTCACTTCCTGTTGCTTAGCTTGACAGCCCAGTTAGTAATGTGTGAGGATGGGTTTGATGTATGGGCCTACTCATTTGTGAGGGTTTTGTTTCTAACAGTTTATTGGACTTAATAAAGACTTTTATAGCAAAGTAGCTCTTAACAAGTAAGCGGAAAGACTGCACTCTGCATTCCTCTATAGACTGCATGAAGAAATCAAGGGCTACCTGGGGCACTAACTAATCCTGGAATAGTGTGGGTGAGGTTGCATATGGTGATGGTCAGTGATTAACTTAACTGGCTGGGCAATTAGTAAGGACTGCGTGCTGCTGGGCAGTCCAGTATTTCCGATTGGAGTGAGAGGTCTAACATCTGTATCTCTGATGTGGCTGTTCATTGACTTTAGCACAGGAAGTCCAGTTCTGGGACAGTGCATTTTGTACCATTTATACAAAATGATTGTTAAAGCTTTGATAAATGCAGTTAGGCCATTTATGTTTTTAAAATGTTCAACAGGTAAGTAAAGATAATTTATGCACATCAAAGGCGGTAAGATCAATAAAGAAAATATATCGATGTCTTGCTAATACTTTAATTGAGGGATTGCAAATGAATTACAAGTGCACAGTAACCAACCTTTGTGCACTGCATCATAGTTTTTCCTTTACTACGACCTTGAAATTCTATGTTAAAGCACATACCTGATCATTAATCAAACCAGTTCAAAAACGTTGTCCATATAGTTCTCTGCTTTGGTTCCCATCCTCAGTTACATCAGACGCTGTTGGTATTAATTTTATTCTTGTAAGACATTGCAAGTAGTAGATAAGGTGATGTATAACACCCCCTTTGTTAGGACAACTTCTAAATCTCTTTGGCTTTGCATATTTGATTTCTTATTAAAACACTTTGTGCAATTAGGTCATTAGGATTGGAGGTGTAATACAAATCAGCCTCTGAACTTTGAGGACAGGAGTTGCTGTAGTTATCTGAACTCTTAGAAAGTCGTGTCTTGTGGTAGCCCCCAAAATGAAATGAAATCGAGGCGCAGCCCTGTTCTCATGATTCCTCAATCTGTGAGTCTGTGTCTCTCTGGACCAGTCTCCTCACACTGTCCCCTGCAGGGCTGAAGGAGGCTGAGTCAACTGCGATCTCACAGCTAGACCTGAGCTCCTTTCACCTGGCTGGGCCCGGCCTCAGAGGCCATGGCCAGTGGTCGTGTGTGTGTTTGCGTGTTTGAGAGTGTACGTACTGTATTCTGGCTGGATGGCCGGCCTGTCGTAGTGTTATCGAAGCCCAAGTGCATTGCAATGAAGGCGAGTGCGTGGTTGATTTTGACTCTGTGGTAGGGTGAAGTGTAAGTTGTGTGTGCGTTGTGTGTCGGAGTGCCGCCTGGTTCCAGCTGAGCACCCCTGAACAGAGCCGTTTCACACAGACCTGCCCTTACAGCTGCATGTTCCCCCGCCCGCTGCTCGCCCGCCTCGCCCCCCTGTGGAGACGCAGAAACCTTAAACCGGGACAGCTCCCCAAAATCAGCTGCCTTTTAAACCCACAAGCCTAGATTCCTGTACCTGGGTTCACAGAGAGCCACAGAATGACAGACGCCCAAGTCTCACACACTAGTGTTCAGAAGCAACCATGTGCAGAGAGGAGAGGGAACAGATCTGTTCTTTATTAAAGTATAATACAGATATCATGAAGAAGTTTTTGATGGAAGGGGCAGCCATTTCCTCACACTGAAAATACTGCAAAGCTACGCCAGAGAATAGTTGAACCACTCTCCCGGTTTTGGGAAAACTGGAGTTGCAAGTCTTTCGGGAGTGTAGGAATGATATAGGAATAAAAAGAAACCATGAGAGACTCAGAGAAAACGGACTAAAGCCACCATAAGAGCATTGATCAGGCAACGGACACACCTGTACAAAGGTCCTACTAAAAGGAAGCCATAATGTTGAGAGATCTGTATCTGTTGTGGGCCATAAATGAAGATGGCTGATGGCAAAGATGTCAGGGATTTTGCTGAGGAAGAATGACCTCTGTTATTCTCCATGCATGTGATACTTGAATGGTACTGTACACACACGGACAGATATCCGGATGTGGAATTAGCATTAACCTGCAGTACCAGTGAAGCAGGGCCAAAGTGCAGCCCGTTTCCCCTTAGCTGTTGTTTAACAAGGAGCCCATAAATCTGTAACTGCCCTCGCAGAACATCGCTGACTCGGAGAGCTGTACAGTTGACGGTCACACAGAAAACCGCGAAGCGTCTGTGTAAATGAAGAGGCTCCAGCCAGGCAGTTAGGAGGTTTTCTGATTTGCTCTCTAATGTAGACGTGTCCTCTTCATTATTTCTCTGAACTTGCTTTCTGCTGAACTTCACCGCCCACTCAGTATGTGAGACATTGCTAAGATGCACAGAGTCAGTGAAATGTTTTTTTCTCATTTTGCAGAAGGTGCTCTCTGTATTAAAAACCTGAATGTAGAGAACCTGCTCCTTGTTGTGCCTGGAGCTTGAGTGTTCTATTTTGTTGCATTTAAAGAAGTGTTTTTAACTTAACTGGCAGTGCAATAGGGCAGAATCAAAACTAGCCGCATCTTTGTAACAGTTCCTAATAGTATTGCTGTTTCTCTAGATGACTAGAGATGTCTTAGTCTTAAGTAATACTTCCACAATAGTTTGGTAAACGCCTAGCTGGCTGCCCTGATGTTTTACGTTGTAGCATTTCAGCTCTAGAGTCCTGGGTTCAATTTTGGCTTTGTGCACCGTCTGTGTGGAGTCTGCATGTTCTTCCGGAGGTCTGTGTGGGTTTTCTGGCTACACAGGTGGCAGAAAGGTGCAGTGTGTTCTAAACAGGAAGCAGAACTTCAGACCTGCAGAGGAAGCTTATGAGAAAGAGTTGGGTGTAAATGTTGACGCATTATTTACATCTTCTATCCACTGTAGGGAAGCAATGAAAAAGGTCATGAAAATGTTCTGATATATAGTTAATGGGTGAATAAAAACCTAGCACGATGTTTATCGTTGTTTAATTAGGGTCGTGTCCAAAATAGGAAGGAAATAACATATTGTTATTCAGTTCTTTAATTGTATGGTAGATGAATTAGTTAATTAAGCTAGTAAAGGTTGACAAATCTATTAGCTGATTTATTGAATTTAATTTTTTTCTGTTGGGTTTTTAGGAAGATATTGAGTTTACACTTAAAACTGAAGACAAGTTGCACAATCGATTAGTCAGCACTGCAGGAAAAGGCAGGAGAATAAAGGAATTCTCCACAAACCCCCTTCTGGGCTTCATGTGCAAGTCCTAATCAACTGCAAACCAGTTCTTATCTCAAACAGACACTTTAGCTTGATTGCACAATTGGACCAGCGTGCCTTCTAATAATGCACAGCACAGGCAGCGCTCCTTTATTCCCTGGCAGCTGATCATTGCCAGCTCTTCTTGGGGCTCAATGGGTCAAGAAGAGTTTTGAGCGGTTGGTCTGCAGACCCGCTCCCAGCCAGAGGAGCCCACAGGACGATCCTGTCCTCCCCGGAGCGCTCAGCCTCCGCGCTCACAGCCAGCCTGCTGGGACGCTGGGAGGGGCGGGTCTGCCTCTCTCTCCACCCCCCCTGCACTGGCAGCTCTGAGAGAGAGAGAGACAACAGTGTTTATCCCAGGTCTGTGGCAGAGGCAGGACTGCGAGAGGGCGCTCAGCAGGCTCCGCTCGGGAACGCACACCCACTCAGAGGGAGAGCTGGGGGGGGGGCGGCAGACGGAGAGGAATAATTACGGGACAGCCCTCCAGAGACTTCACTGCTCAGCCTGGAGGGAGAAGGGAACCCCTCAGCAGCACGGCCGTAGGCAACGCTGAAACCAGAGCAGACTGCGAGAGGAGAGACTGGGAGAGACCACTGGGGGGGGGGAGGGGAAACTGGGACTGAGGTCCTGAAGACAGCCAGCAGAGCTCCTCGGGTTGGAAAGAGCCAGTGAGCATTAGGGGTCCCAGCTAGACTAGCCAGGGTCCGCATCCGGATCAGCCACCAGCAACTGGAGGCAGGCGGACACTGCCTCTGGGAACACCGGCTGGGCAGACTGGGTACAGCCCACTGCAGACCAGCACGCCACAGGGGGGCAGAGATTGGCCGGATTGGGACTCCTGACCCGCACAGAGTGGAGTACAGGTCCAGAGGATCACCGAGGGGACAGAGTGCCGCCTAGCTCGTCGCACCTGCAGGCGTTGGAATCTGCACTCGGAGCTCCGACTGGGATCGGCACGGAGCCGGAGACTGGCCCCCAGCACTGGCACGGCTAGCTCCGAGACGCTCTCGTCTTCTTTCCTCCTGACGAACCGGCTCCGTAGGAGTGTGGAGGAGCAGTTGCATCCGGAGAGGAGAGGGGATATCTCACGGGGATCATGTGCCCAAAGAAAAGCTCGGCGCAGAGCGAAGAGGTTCCATTTTGAAGGCAGAAGATTACTGATTTTTTGCCTGCCTGCCGCCGACGACATCCCAGTCTGGAACATGCCCGGTCTGCCGGGAGAGGGGAGAGTGCAGAGTCAGTGAGACTCCCTGCCTGGATGCCTGCCTCCCCCCGGCGCCCGATGATCTCTCACTACCCCCTGGCCTCGCTGCTGTCCTGGCCCCCTGGCACCCCTGAGGCCCCCAGTCTGGGGCTGGAGCTGCTGGGGGAGGATGGGGGGGTGTCTCTGCAGAGGTACCAGCCCCGCTCCCCAGACAGCACCCCGCGACACTGGGTCAGTGAGTCCCGCCCGTCGCAGGGCAAGGAATTCTGCCCACTTTGCTTTCTTTCTCCCGTGCCGTTGGCTCGCGATCTAGCTGCCTCTGAATGTGCTGGTCTGTCTGTCTCTGGCATGATTGGCGTGACTGCTTGGTCTTGACCGTGAATCGGAGGGGCTGTCCTGGTGTTCCCAGGTGCTGAAAGGCACTGTTCTGTTGTAAAGATTTCTCCATCACTGATCAGCAGACAGTCTGCACCAGCCTTGAGCTTTTCAGTTCTCTGCATTGTGGGGTGTTTAGGACCCTGTAGTTGAGCTGAGTCGCTGACAACCTGCAAGCGTACGACACAGATACAGAGAGGGCAAGAATGAGTTCTGTTCATTTGGTACACAGTTGGCGACAACATTGTCCAAATGTAGTGATGAAATGTTTGAAGTAACTGTTTAGATTAGAGTCTATCTCATTCACTATCATGCCATTTGATTGTCAATTTGCTCTTGTTTCGTTCTGCACACAAATTAAGCCACTGCACTGGGAGATTAAAGGGACAATAATATCTAATCACTATTTAATTTCAGTATTGTGCAAATTTGAGGATTGAGTGTTTGAAGCTACAGATCACATAGACTAAGATATGAGGTATATGAACCACATATATTAACCCATAACCGGATGGCTTTCAAAGAGGGGAAGAGAGATCTCGGCAGCTCGTCTGGGCCTCGATCAGCCGCCTCCTGTGTTGTTCAGCCTGTGGCAGAGCTTGGAGTTAGTGGTCAGCTGGCCACACAGGGTTAATCTTGCTGGCTGGTGGCTGCAGTCTGTTTGGACAGGCTGTGGCTGTGGTGAGAGCATGCCAGGAAGGAAGGCGTTCAGTGGGAATCGAGTGCACAGTTCCTCCCCTGAACTGTGGCTGTCAGCACTTCTGGGCAGAGAAGCCTCACTGTGTCACGAGGAAGGCTGACCCCACATTCCCCAGCTCCGAAAACTGCCTGTAACTGCAGATCAGGTTGTTATGACTGTACTGTAGCTGTATTACATGGTTTCGAGTACTGTTTTGCAGCACGTTCAGTAGCTCGGAGACCCGGTGCCGTTCAGAAGGGTGTTCAGTAGCTCGGAGCCCCGGTGTCGTTCAGAAGGGTGTTCAGTAGCTCAGCGCCCCGGTGTCGTTCAGAAGGGTGTTCAGTAGCTCAGAGCCCTGGTGTCGTTCAGAAGGGTGTTCAGTAGCTCAGAGCCCAGGTGCTGTTCTGCGGGGTGTTCAGTAGCTCGAACCCCCGGTGCTGTTCAGAAGGGTGTTCAGTAGCTTGGAGCCCAGTGCCGTTCAGAAGAGTGTTCAGTCGTTTAGTGCCAGAGAACCAGACTTTTTATTGTTCAGTAGATCAGTTCCGATTGTCTTGAGTGTCGCTGGGGTTAAGAAGCCTGGGCCTCGGGGACTGCGTGAGGGCTGCTGTGTCGAAGGTGGAGTCTGAGCTGGGTGGCGGTGTGTCGTGTGCGTCTGTGTGCACACGCTGGCTGCTGGCTGTCCCTGACACACAGGCCTGCTTTCCGGCTATTGTACCAGCCGGGGATCAGCCAGGACATTTTTCATTCCCTACTGACTGTATGCCCCTCCAACAGGGAGTTGGGGATTACAGGGATGGAGTGCTCCATTGTTCAGGCGCTGTGCACTCCGCACAGCGTGTGAGAGATCTCGGCCAGCTGCTGTCCTGCTGTCCTGCTAGGCAGGCCATGAGCACACTAACATTTCTCTAGATCTCCTCAATGTTCACTGAATTCAGCTTGATGGCAATAATACTTTGATTTGCCAGGGTGTCTTTGGCAACAGCCTCATGAAATATATAGGAAACTATGAGATAAGTTAAACCATTTTGTTTCAGTTGGACAGCCCTGTGCATTCTCTTGTAAAAAAGAATCGCATGTGACAAAGGTGTGAGGTACTTGTTTTGCAGACTGGGTGCCAATCAGATGATTAATAAAGAAATGTGCAGTGAGGTTCAATATTGTCATGACTAATGAAATAAGACTCAAAACATGACACATTGACTCATCACAGTATGGTGGGCGATGTGAAGATCAATACATGTGCTACGTCGTGTACAGATGGCATATCGTGTTGTACCGATGCTCAAGGCAAAAGGTTTTCCGATTGTGGGATATCAGCACTGAGGGTCTGTCTTGTGTCCTGTAAGTGTGTGTTTCAGGGAGCAGTTTAGGGATTCGGTGTCTCTGTTATTCTGTCCAGGGCTGTTTGTGTACTGAAGGCAGCAGACAGTTTGCATTCCGCTGAGATTATTGGTGCTGATTTCACACATTCTAGAGCTGTGGCAGCGTGTTCTGCTCGGAGTGTCTCGTTCCCTGTTCTGCGGTTTTCCTCAGGTTAATGCCTGGACCCACTGTGGTGTGAGCCACTTCTGAAAACAGCACAACCTCGCGACGCGAGAAGGAGACAGCAAGATGGGTCTTTCAGGTTACCTTGAACACAAACTCGGACCCGCGGAGAACCCTGGAGGTGAAGAGGGGTGTAAAAACACTGCAGGCAGTGGACCGCTGGGGCAGTGAAGCGCAGCAGAGGTCACGTAAAGTTTGTTCCCACCCCCCCACCCCACCCCCCCAAAATGGGCCGCATTGAATGGAAGAAATTCCACAATCCTTTGCTTTTCTGTGAGAGTCGCGCTGCTCTTTCTGAGTCCAGTCTGGGGAAGGTCTTCACTGTGACACCACTGTCA